GATTCGGTAGTTCTTATTTTCTAACAAACTTAATCGTTAATTGTGAATGATTAATGATCATCTATAGCCTATCCTATATATCTCTCATCTCTATAGTGTAAGTGGACACCAGTTGGCAAAATGACTAGTGCAATGCTTTGGAGTCTGGAATCTGATGCTCAAATTTAGCTACTTACCAATTACCCTCCACAAAATTCTGTGGAAATTAGAATTGAAACAAGGCACTACACTACACTACTCGTACAATGGATTTTGATCGAGTTCCATTGTACCGAGTTCATCAGTAGGTATGGAGCCCTTCACTACCGAGTTCATCAATAGCAGTAGGTATGTTGTAAACATTAAAGATGACCCATCACTCCATCAGCGAATAAGAAAAGAGTTAATGTTTGCCTTAAATTTTAGTATTTTACCATTACTTATCTACAGTAGCAGAGAGCATCTTCTTAGCTTTTGTTGGAGTCGGTCGGCTTTGATAGTTTGATCCATCCATTATATAGTTTCCTGTAGATTGAAATCTTGCTCCAGTAAATAGTACTTTCAAACTCTTCTCCCTCCACAAAATCTGGATCCATGGATGGGCCACAAAACATTCCACCCCCATTGGGGAAGTATATCAAAGTAAGTGGAAGAGTACAAACAAGCATCATGAGACCCATTAAGGAAATGTCGGTTTCCTTTGGGAATGTATAGCTAGAAAAGAACAACAACTAAGCCACCATTAGCGAAAATTCAGGATAGGTATATTGTACTTTAGGCTGAGTGTCAATTTAGTACCTATACTTTAAATCGTGACAATCTAGTACCCGAACTTCCAATTTGGGACAATTTGGTACCCGAATTCTCAATTTGTGACAATTTGGTACCCGACATTAGATTTCCATCAGTTAGAAACTCACATGCAGGTTAAAAATTTCAAAAATACCCTTTACGAAATGCCCTTCTTATTCCCTTTCCCTAATCTCCTGTTGTCTTCGTTCTGGGTTGAACAAATGATGTTTTTGAAGGGATGAGAGATCCATCGTATGGACGCCCAAATCTTGTAGAATTAAATGGGGCGAATTTCAAAAATTTTTCTCTCCCTTCAACTGAGAATCGCATTCCCTATTTAGAAAATCATATTTTCAATGATCAATCTTGAACCATAAACTAAACCAGCTACGAAAAAAGAGTAGGAGAGAGGTATACCTGATATAGAGAAATATTATCTCTCAATTGAGGTGTTCACGCCCAAGGAATGATCCAAAGATTGCTCCTACTGAAGATGGCGCAATGCAGGATGGAGCAGAATCAACAGTGTTCTTCTCCAAGAACTCTGTCCTTCGCAAAAACAACAGGATGGCACGTGAGCACAGCTTCCTATCAATCATTTCATAAAGAACTGATATCAAGATCAAATCTTGACTTCACCCACAACTGGAGATCGAACTAGCAAGGTAGGCAGCAAGAAGAGGAGGCGGCAATAAAGAATTCTGCATGGTTGCTTAATTCTTTCTTTTGTGATTTCAGCTTTGAAGAGGATGTGAGTATGTGTCTTCTAAAGGCTGCCGCCTCTTCCTTCTTTTGTAACCCTAAAAGATTAACTCCTAATCCAATTAGAAATTAATGATCCAAATCATATTTGGATCAGACATCCCTTTAGGTGATAAGGATAAACCCTTATCTTATCTGCAGATTAGATCAGCCTTCTCCTAACCTCATTAGGAGGTTTCTAGATCTGAATCACATTCACATTCAGATCTGGACTCTCTGAGTGGATAGGGTTGAGACCCTATCCTATCTGCTAATCTATCTCAGAATTCGCCCCATATTTAACTCATTAAATTAGCCCAGTTCGAAATGGGCTTGAGGCCCATTAAGGTTATGCACTTATTTACCCTTCCAAACTGCTACCTAGTTGGGCTTTCTTGTATGGCGTGAAACCCAAACATTGATCTACACATCAGTCACATGGGTTCGGCCCAGCCTTTGCTACAAGGCCTAGCCGAATACACTACTATGGACAGTTCACCCCATGAAACCCATCACATGGGCTCCATGGGCCCAACACTTACCCTAAGTGGTCCCTGGGCCAAACCACCTTATAACACCCAAGGACTGTGGGCAGATGCAAGATTAGCCCATCAGGTATTATCCTCAATGATCTTACACACAACCTCTCAGCCCATAATGATCAAACACT